CCTTTTGCCTGATTGCAGATGCCGAATCATGAGGGCAACGCCCCGGAAACATGGCTTCTTCCCTTGTTGCCGTGCTTCGTCTGGAAGATGCTCCAACGGCGTAGCTGCCTTTTTCAAGAGCGAGCCAGCGCGCGTTCGCCCGCCGAGGGGCAGGCGTGCTTGCGAAGTGCTGACGTAGCTGATGACCTCCAGCCGCCATCGGCTAGAAGTTGCCGTTTGCGTGGTGTTCGCGTCTAGTCGACATGTGTCATCGAGAGCGCGACGACCGCGCAGTTGTCATTCATCTCGCGACGGTGGCGGACCGCTTGGGGGCACCACTGCGTAAGATTGGCAAAGACGAGAAACTCGTCAAAGCTGCGGCTTGTCGCCTGCAAAGCCACCTCTCCCCGCGCCCTCGGCGGCGGCACCACCAGGGGAAGAACTTCGACCAGCTGCGCGAGACCCTGCAACCCAACGAGGACCTCCTTTGGCTGCCTCCAAGGACGCGGGCTCGCCGCCGGCAGCGAGCTGCGCGGCCTGAATGGGAGGCCCCCCCGCGTGGCTTTGATGGCTGCCTTTTGCGGTTCTTCGGAAAGGGCCCCTGACGAAGAGGACGTTGCATCGGCTTCGGAGCGGTCCTCCGGTGCTGCGGGTCCTTCGCGCGGTCCGGGGGCAGGTGCCTCTCGTTCTCCAGCTGGCACTGCTTCGCCCGTTTTGCCCATGCGTTTCCTGGGGGCCAGGGCTTCCGCCGCTTTCTCGACGTCCGTGGGCAGCTACCCGAAACCTTCTGGGCCCCCGAGCATATCTTGACGATGCCGTCGGGGTTCTTGCCGCCGCTGTCGCAGGTCTTTCCCGGGCCGACGCCTCGCGTCGGTCCAGGTCTGCGCGCGTGGCCTCGTCGACGGCGAAGAGGGCCTTCTTGCCGTCCGCCGTCGCGTCGGGGTCTCCGAGCGGCGCCGACTTGGCGGTGGGCTTCGCATGCTGCTCGGTGGCGAGGATGCGCTCCTGCTCCGCCGTGCAGGCCACCTCGCGCTGCTTCTCGTGCTCTGCCTCGACCTCCTCCAAACAGTGCTTGGCAGCCGGCAGCTTGTTGAACGGCTTAGTGAGTTCCTTGGGCTCGCGCGTGGCACCCGCGTGGGCGGTGCCCATGCGTGGCCTCGCCGCGAAGGGGGGGGGGCGGCCTGTCGCTCGTGCATCCTGCCTTGCTCGGCCTTCGCGATCTCACCCTGGAATTCCCTCGCAGCCGGCGACTGCAGGAGAGCGGTAGGCAGCGTGGCAAGTGCCGCCGCTGCCGACTCCTGCTCCTTGGAGGCCTTCGAATGCCAAGGGGGCCTGGTGCCTCCCACATTCGCCGGCAGCCGACTCATCGCACGACCTGTTGGGCCGAAACATGTCGAGCGGCTCGCGGCAAAACTGGCGCTGGCAATTGTCCTAGATGATGCGCCAAATGTAGCATCACCGGCCGCAGCCACAATGCGCGAAGACCCGAGAATTCTTTGTTTTCTGTTGCCAAGGCGCCATGGCAGAGCACGAAGGAAACCTCGCACTGGGGCTCAGTGCTTGGCTCTAGTCAGGGCGGACTGCCTCGCACTGGGGCTCAGTGCTTGGCTCTAGTCAGGGCGGACTGGCCGAAGACTGAGAGCGGAGCAGGGGGGGGCGGAGGAGGAGGAGGAGGCGGGGAAGGAGGAGGAGGCACAGGAAGAAGCATGGTAAGGAGGTCGGGGAGGAGGATGAGGACGAGGATACGGGAGACGACGGAGGGGAGAGGAGGATGCGGACGAGAAGGACAACAAAAAACACGAAGGGAAGAGGGGGCGGAGAAGGAGGAGGAGCAGGAAGAGGAGGATGCGGAGGAGACAGCAAAAGGAGGAGGAGGGTTCGGAGGGAACGCTTGAGGAGGAGGAGGAGGAGGAGGAGGAGGAGGAGAGGAGATGGTGGAACGGGAGTGAGGAGGGGGGGGCGGTGGAGCTGGGAGAGAGAGTATACTCATATGTGGAGGAGGAGGAGGGGACGAGGACGAGATGGCGGATACTGGGGGGTGACGAATGAAGGGGAGGAAGAGGTGAGGTGGTGGAGGAGGAGGAGGAGGAGGAGGACGAGAGGCAATGCCGTTGTCACCGCGCCCCGCTGCCCGCCGTCCCCGCCTGCCCGCGGGACAGGACGGTCAAGCGTACTTGCTGGTCGCCCTTGTTTGTGGGAAGGCCGCCTCCCCCCTGTTCCCCCAATCCTTTTTCCTGCTCTTCCTGTTCTTCCTCCTCCTCCTCCTCCTCTTCCTCTTCCTCTTCCTCTTCCTGCCTCTCGCTTCATCAGCACGCCACCTCGCTGGGAGGTTTTCAATCCATCCATTCATCTAGGTTGTTCTCCTTCCTTCCCCCCGTCCTCCCCCTCCCTTTCCTTCGTCCCTTCCCCATCCTCGTCCCACTTTCCCCCCCTTGTTCCATCCCCCCCTCCCCAAACGCTCCACACACGCCCTCCTCCTTTTCCTCCTCCATCCTCCTCCTCCTCCCTCCTCGTCCGCTTCCTGGTCCTCCTCATGGTTGTGCTCCTCATCCTCCTTTTTGTTCCTGCCCCTCTCCACCTCAACCTTCTCCTCCTCTTTCTCTCTTTCCTCCTTGTGTACCCCCCCTCGTCCTTCTTGTTCTTCTGCTCCCCCTTCTCCTGTTATCCCTTCGTCCTCCCCATCGTCCTCTTCCTCCTCTCCTCCTCCTCCTCCCTTTTCTCGTTATCCTCCTTGTCCTCCTCATACTCGTCTTCATATCTCTCCGCATTGCCTCCTTCTCCTCTTCCGTCCTTTTGATCTGCTCTTCCAGTTGTTCTTTCCTCCTTCCCTCCGCCTCCTCCTCCCTTCTCCCTCCCCGCTGATCCTCCCTCCTTCTTCCCAGCTTCCTGCCTCGTGCTGCAGCAGCATCAGATCCTCCTCCTCCTCCTCCTCCTCCCTCTCCTCCTCCTCCTCTTCCTCCTCCTCATCCTCCGCTTACTCCTCCGCTTCCTCCTCCGCCTCTCTTCTCCTCCTTCGCCTCCTACTCCTCCTCTCTCCCCTCCTCCTCCTCCGCCTCCTCCTCCTCCTCCTCCTCCTCCTCCCTTCTCTTTCTTCTCCCCCTCTTCCTCCTCCTACGCATCGCTCTCCTTGCCCTGCTCTTGCTCCTCCCCCACCCCTCTGCTGCTCCCCTCTGGTTCTCTTTGCAGCCGGTGCCCTTCCTCTTTACTGCGAAGGCCTTGCGGCCCGTGCCGCCGACCCTGAAGGCCCTGAAAGAAAACAGCGACTACGACGACGGCGGCGGCGACGGCGACGTCGAAGGCGACGCTGGCACTCTGAAGCCCTCCGTGGGCCCTAGTGGGCCTGGGGGGCCTCTTGGGGGACTTCTTAGGGAACGCCGTGGTCACTTGAAACAGCCACGGGCGGATCTCGGGCCTGATGGAGGCATCTAGGATACAGCATCTTCCGCGGATCTACAGCATGTCCTAACACTTCCTCCGCATGCGGGTGGGGTCTGGGATGACTGGGTGGTCCCCGTGTCCACTCGTCCATACGGGGAGCAGTGGGGGAGCTCCCCTTGGCCCCCCTAGTCAACAGGGAGATGGGGAGACGGGGCGGGGGTCTTGGTTTCCCTTTGTCTACAAGGGTGGCACACAATGGGGGGAGGGCTTCAGTTCGCCCCGCTAACCGGGGGAACCACATCCAGTCTCCCTTGTCCAAATGGGACCCCCCCGGGGAACACGATATTCAGACCTGGCCTCCCTCTTCCCCTCCGTCCACGTCCCCCGCTTCACCCCTCCTTGTCCGCAGAGGGGAAGGGAGGGGTCTTGAGTTCCCCTTGTCCGCAGAGGTGGCTCTTCCTTTGCCCCCCTGTCCAAAGTGGGGTTTCACTTCTTCCTGGTCAAAGGGGGAACCTCATCTTGTCTCCGAACAGCGGGGGGGAAGCAGGGGAGGGAGGGGGATGGGGCTTGATTTCCCCCTGTCCACAAGGACCTCCCCCCCACAAGACCCCCTCTGGGGGCAGGTATTCTGACCTTGGACCTCCCCCCCAAGCATCCCCCAACCATCTTGCCCCAACCCCTCCTTGTCCACGGGGGGGGGAGGGGGAGAGGGCGGGGGTCAGAGCTCCCCCTGTCCACAGGTGGGGCCATCCCCTTGTTCCCCCTTGTCTATGGGGGGACGGAGGGGAGGAGGAGGGATGCCGCAGCGCATTATGATGCGTGGCGGCCTCGCAGGGGGTCCCGAGGATTCCTGCGGAGGCTCGGGGTGCCAAAGTGCAGCAGTTTAGGCAGGACTCCGAGAAGGCGCAGCAGGGTAAGGTCAAGGAGGGCGTGAAGCGGGCTAGGTAGAGGTCTCCGGGAGAAGCTGAGGTGGACCTAGACGCCCCAGAGCACTTGCAGGCCAACTTCACGGCGCAAGAATGCGAGCGACATGCAGCAGTGCACCCTGGACCCCAGCATGGACTGACGGGAGGATCATGGCGCCAAGAACGCAGAGGTCGGGCCGAAGGAGCTGCCCGCCGATGCGCCGGAGGTCGACACCGCGCACGCCTGCAAGGTCGCACTGCCACGGTCGCTTGTCCTCTAGATGAGGTGCTCCAGGGTGCGGAGGAATTCGGGGACGCGGATTTGCCGGAGCAGGCGAGGCCCGCCCTGCATGGGAGGATGGAGTGGACAGGCTGCGAGGCTATCGAGGAGAACCAGTGCGTTTTCATCAACGCAGCGGCGGCCCACGCGTGCGCGCGTCTGGGTCGCCGGGCCAGCGTGTGTGAGGTTATCGACGAGGCCTAGAAGTTCAGGCTGGACACGTTGGGTCATCCCAAAGAGGCCGAGACCTCAGTGGGTGAGCCGGACGCCTGCATCACCATCGCTGAGTCAGATGTCCGCATGTTCAGTCGCGACGCCGCGAGGTTCGGGCACGACAAGGCCGCCTGGCCGCGTTTCCTCAGTTGGACCTGAGCCGAGCGGCGGTTCGCGCGGTGCGCGCGGGGCCTCGGGGCCGCGCGAAGCTGGAGGTGATCGTGGGAGAGGACTGCGCGTCAAGGGCGGGATCGACATCTGCCCTTGGCCGATAAAAGGCTGATCCCGCAACTCTCGAACATCGCAACGCTGAGGTCGGATTTGCGGCGGGCCGCCCTCCCGCCGAGGTCCCGGCTGCCTGGCGGGGGCCCCGCCAGACGCGCTAATGCAGAGCTGCCTCGCGCTCGCGGGCGCAGCGAAGCGGCGGTCGCGCGGCCGCGCTGGGGCGGCTGACTGGCAGGGCAGCAACGCCGATGACGATTTCGGCGAGGAGCGAGGATCCTCGTTGGAGAGCTTTGAAGGGTGGGTCGGTCTGGCGTGGACCGACACCCTGGCCCGGCATGTCCAGAAGGCGGTGAAGGGCCCGAGGCGAGGTGGGGGACGTCAGGGGTCAAGTGCGTGGAGGATCTGGGGGGCACGGCGCCTGGCGGCGCTGGCCACGGTCGCCAGCGGCGCCATGGGCAGCTACAGTGTCACCCAGCAGCAGCGGAACGTCTGATGCCGCATCCGCGGGCAAAGCCCCGTCTCGGACGGCCAGGCTAGGGGGGGGAGCAGGGGTATGAGGATGGGCTGCTGCTGTTCGTCTACCATCGCGGAGCAGCCTCCATCGCGCGCGCGGCGCGATCTGCTCCGCTGTGCGCGGGGGGTGAGGGGGGGGCGGGCGCAACGCGCGTGGTCGGCGAGCCAGGCCCGCTGGCGGACTTGCCGCGGCCGTTGGCGGCGCTGGGCGTCATCGAGAGGGCGCGGGGGCCAGGGGCGAGGAAGTTGCCAGTCACGGTCCGCGTGCTCGAGAAGATCAGGGCGAGGCCGAAGCCCCAGTCGGACACGGGCGGCGCGCAACTACTTTGTCATTGTGGCGTTCTTCTCGTCTCGATGGCGATGGGTAACTGCGCCTGCGCGGGCAATTGGGGCCGTCGCATGGCGCTGGCGGGCATTCGCGCGGCGGCGAAGTTGAACGGCGTGCTGGCGGGCCCCCCCCCTGGCCGGCGAGGTGGAAATGTGGTTCAAGTCGAGCAAGACCGACCAGGTGGGCGCAGGCCTTGCGAGGGGCCGTTGCAGGGCAGGGCGCGAGGTGCCCCCCCCCCCGCGCGCGCGGTCGAGCAGCGCCAGTGGCGCGCCCCAGCGCGGATTGGAGGAGGCGAGGAAACGCGCGCCCCACTGGCGCGGCGGGCGGACGGCGGCCCCGCGTCGAGGCGGAGGGCCTAGGAGGTGCTGCAGCGGGCGGCAGTGGCGGAGGGCTACCGGGCCTCGTGTTTCGGCCCCCGCTCGCCGAGGATCGGAGGGGCCGCGACTCTGCGCCATCGCTGCGGCGACGCCGAGGTGGGTGGCGTTAAGAGGCGGGGAAAGTTGCGCATTCGATTGGAAACTGCGCGAGGCCAACGAGGCAGCCAAGGGCGTCTCGGCTGCGATGGCCATGTCGGTCGCAGCGCTCCACGCCGGTTGCGACGCGGCGCAGGAAAAGGCCCGCGAGTAGGAGGGGGCCCCGTGCAGGCCCATCGGGAGGGCGAGGACCAGGCGCCGACGTGAGAGTCGGGAGGTGGAGGCACGATGGGGGAGGCCGTGACGCGGGCGCGCGGGCCAGCCTGGCGTGGGTGCGCGGCGCGCAGTGTGTCGGCGGGTGACCTGGCTGGTGTCATCGCGCTCAAGATGGCGCCATCGCGCTCAAGAGGGGCTGGCGGCAGGAGGAGGAGGAACGATGCGAGGGCCATGTTGGCAAGAGGCCGCGGCGCAGATCCACGGCGAAGTAAGAGGGCACCGCCGCCGTGGCGGTTCAGGCAGTCACGGGAGTGGAGCAGCCGAGGGCCTGCACGAGGAGATTATCCTGCCACGGTGGGAACCCTTGCCAGGAAACGCCCTACTTGCCTTCAGAGTGCCATGGGTTTCTTGGGCCTCCATGGTTTTGCCACGGAGCGCGTGGCGCTCCCACGCCAAATGTCACTGGGCGCCCTGGGGTCTCAGGGTTGGGTTTCTTGCGGAAGGTCTCTAGTGGTCGAGCTCGAATTGTACAGAAGGCAGGAGGAGGGTGAGGTGGGGCTCTGCGCCCGTCATCGTGGCCGCCGTGTCCTGGGCGGGTGGGCCGAGGGCCGCCGTGGGCGGCGCAGCGCGCCTGCTCGTCCCGCGGGCAGGCGAGCGCCGAGCGCGTCCTCCCGCTCGTCGGGGGGCGCTTGCGTCCTGCGGCAGCAGGCCACAAAAGGCATCGTTGTCGCCGCTGCCGCCACCGACCGTCCCTGTTTCACCAGGCGCGTTCCACTCTTCGCAAAGTGCTTACTTGCAGACAAGCAGGTCTTCCTCTATGTAACCGAGCGTAAATCCTCTGCGGCGGGCTCAGGCCATTTGCGAGTAGTTACTTTGCGAGTAATGGAAAGCGCTTGTCCACAGATGGTTACCGTACGCCCACGTCCCCGTCGCTTGTCCAAGCGGCTCGGGGGCGAAACAGAGCGTACGGTTCTAAGCGGTTGGGGCGGGCGGGGGGGTGCCCGTTTTTTCTTCTGTCCTCGTCCTCCCTCTTTCTCTCTCTTTTTTTTTTTCTCTCTCTCTCTCTCTCTCTGTCTCTCTCTCTCTCTGTCGTTCCTGGTTGCTGCCGATTTGGGCTCCGGTGTTTCCCGGGCTTTTCTCCCCCCCCCGCCCTCCGGGGCCACGAAGTCGAGCTGCTCCAGGGGCCGAGGGCCGCCGTGAACGGCACGGCGCGCTGCCCCGACCAGCCGGAGGGCATGTGACGAGCGCTCCCCGGGGAGGGGCCGGCCCGGGCCGCGAGCGCCCGATCGCCACGCCCCCGGCCATGCCGAGCGACCAGCCCGTCAGCATGCCCGCGAAGGCCGCGAGCCCCGCGGCCCAGCGGGCGCCAGCGGCGGGCCCCACCCAGGGGCCGCCTCTCGGGTGGGGGGAGGGGTGGCGCAGCTAAAGTTAGGGGGGGAATGAATGCGACGCACCGAGACGCGCGAATGGGACGCGCCGCAGCTCCCGCGTGTCGGGGGGCGCTTGGTATCGCTGTGGGCGGGGGTGTCCGAAGCGGCGATGCACAAGCGGAGGCGGTTCTCGAAGGGCCAGCATCCCAGGTGCGGCGAGGGCGCGACGACGATCGCGAGCTGGCCGATGTCCCCCTTTGGGCCCACATCGCAGGAGGAGGAACAACAAACACAAATAGTTATAACAAGTTCTGCGGCGGCGGCCACAAAGGCATCGTTGTCGCCGTCGCTGCCATTGATCGCTAGATGCAGTTCCTGGGATGCGGTTCTCTGCGCGCCCCCACGCCCCGTCAACCGGGAAGGGACTCCGTTTGGAGCGGGGAAGGACGGTTGCGACGTTCCGAAAAGGGCTCTTTTTCAGTCGGGGCGACGACGGAGACGACGCCGACGACGACAAGGACGACGACGACAACGCACGCTGCATCCCTCCCCCATTCTGCTTCTTTGTTTCCTCTGCTCTCTCTATTGCCTCCTCCTCATGCCGTTGTTCATCGTCGGTTCATGCTGGCGACCCTTCTCCTTGTTATCTTTCCTCCGTCCTCCTTCCTCCACCGTCTCGTTCCTCATCCTCTTCTTGACCCTTGCCTCCTCCTCCCCCCCCTTCCTTCCCTATCCTCTTTCCGTTCCTCTCCCTCCCCTTCCCACCCCTCTTCCTCCTCGCCACCGCCCTCCTCCCCGCCCTCCCTTCCGCAATAAGGCCACATTTGTCTCGCTCAGCGTGGTGGTGGACCCCGTCTTCGAGGAGATGTGCGCCGGCGACTGCCTGGTGGACTGCCTGAAGCTGATCGTCCACCCGCCCGCGGGCGCTCGGACTGCCCAAAGATCCGACGTCGTGATCTTTTCAAGACGCGGTGCCCCGAAGTCTCGACCCATTCCCCAGCACCGCTTTTTCACCCCAGTCGTTTTTTTTGACGGCCCCTGGGGCCTGGCGAGGGCCCCCTATGGAGACCGAAAGTTGAGAGAAGAACCTCCGTCTTGATGTTCTCAATGCGTCGGATCTCTGGGAAGGGGGGGGGGGCGCTGCCTGGGCCTGGGCCCCAGCGGGGCTCCCCCTGGAGGCAAGGGCTCCCACGAGGGCGCGAAGTTCTTCGCGCTTCGCGGTCCTCGTTCCTTCCCCCCCTCCTCCTCGTCCTCCTCCTCCTCCTTTGGGGGGGGCGGCGCGAGAGCGCGAAGTCATTCGCGCTTCGCGGAGCGCGAGAGCGCGAAGTTGGGAGCCCCCGTGGACGTCGGACCTGGGCGCCCCATGTGGGCCTGGCCCTCCTCCCGGCGAGCCTTCCACGCCCGTGGCCCCGGATCCTTCTCTTCCCGATGGATCCTCGATCCTCCTCGATCCTCCTCCTCCTCCTCCTCCTCGATCCTCCTCCTCCTCCTCCTCCTCGATCCTCCTCCTCCTCCTCCTCCTCCTCCTCCTCCTCGATCCTCCTCGATCCTCCTCGATCCTCGATCCTCCTCCTCCTCCTCCTTGATCCTCCTCCTCGATCCTCGATCCTCCTCCTCCTCCTGGATCGATCCTTGATCTTCCTCCTCGATCCCCGGCCCTCCCCGATGTTATTTTGTTATCGGGGGCGGCAACGAGGGGATGACTAGGGGGGGGTGGATATCATGGCGAGGGCCATGATATCTCCCTGGATTTCATGACGCCTCTTCTTATCTCATTACGTCCCTGGCCTCCCTCCTGGGCCGCGCACGTGCCGCCAGTCATGATTTGCACCCCCCTCTTGGACGCCCCCCTCTTGGCCGCTCCCGATATTTTGTCAAAATGCAGAATTACTACCCTCGGTCCCCCTCCTCGACGTTCGACCCTGCCCGAAGCAGAAGGCATCGGCACCCCTCTCGTCTTCCCCTACCTCACATCCTCTCCGAGGGTGCGGGCACTGCTTGGGCCAGGGGGCAGGGGGAAGGGGGACGGGATGGGGTGGAGGAGGAGGAAGAGGAGGAGGAGGAGCAGGAGGAGGAAGAGGAGGAGGAGGAGGAGGTGAAAGGGAGGAGGAGGGGGTGGAAAAAGGGGGGGGAGAGGAAGGGGAGGAGGAGGAGGAGGAGGAGGAGGAGGAGGAGGAGGAGGATCGAGGAGGAGGAGGAGGAGGAGGAGGAGGAGGAAAAGGAGGAGAACGAGGAGGAGGGGGGGAGGGGGGATAGGATGACGAAGGGGAGGGGAGGAGGACGAACTGGAGCGCCCCTGGCCCTCCTGGGGTGGGCCCGGCGTCCGCGGGCCCAGCCCGTCAATCTGGCCGTACCAGTGCCCCTGAAGGGCCCCAAGGACGCCGCGACCATCGGCCGCTTCTTCGGCAGGGGGCACTGCCACCTCTCGAGGCCGCCGAGGGGTTGAAGGGCAGGAGAGGGGGAGGAGGAGGAGGAGGAGGAGGAGGAGGAGGAGGAGGAGGAGGAGGAGGACCTGCGCAAATCCCAAGCGCATCCATGACGTTACAGTACGCTCTCCTTCCAAATTTCTTCTTCACACCAGACACTGAAACAAGTTATTGTCATTTACGGAGGCGGCCGATAAACGGCAACCGTCTGATTGTCCCCAGTCGTGCCAAGCACGATTCATGGGATTTCAGTGCCACGGATCAATGTGACTGTTGCGTCCTGACGATCCTTAATCGTGTCATAACACGTTTCTGGGACTCTAACACCGCGGACCAAGGTGACTGTTGCGTCCTCGCCATCATCAATCGTGCCAGAATGCCATTCCTCAGACATCGGCCGCATTTCAAAGCACCATTTCTGGACTGTTAACCAGGAGATACCGTGAAGCTCTTGCAGTTTCTTAAGACGAATGAACGTAGCGCTGAGGCAAGAGCCATATTATGAAAAGGAGCCGCCCTCCATCATTGAAGCGGTTGCCAATTTTTGCGGCGTTTGTGCGTTGCGATGGCGAGAGCCATGGCGCGATGGCGCGAGCCACGCTTTGAGAAGAATCCGCCCTCCATCCCGTGAGGCTATTGAAGAGGCATCGCCGCAAGTGGCTCCACAGCTTAGGCCTGCTTGTCGCCGCCGACCTCGTCGCCATCCAGGAGGCGCACAGCACGGAGGGAGCAGCGACGACGCTCTGGCTACCTCGAGGAGGCCGCGCTTGGAGGTCGCACGGCCTGGCAGCCGTGGGGGGCGTGGCAGCTTCCTGCTCAAGAGCTCAAGGTCGATGACGTGCAGGATGGGGCCTGGGCAGAGGCGGTGCCAGAGAGGGCAGCTAATTTGCGACTGGATGGGCCAGGCGGCTCCCTGGACATCACCGCCCTATACATGCCCACTGAGCAGGCGGCTCAGGAACGAGCGACGGCTCGAGACGCGCTGGCTCTGCATACAGTCGAAGCCCATGGTACTAAGGATGGATGGCCTTCCCAAGGGTGCCCTTGCATCCTTGCCCCTGAGGTTCACCATAAACCACTTCTGACGGCCAGGCCCGCTCAAAGAGCTTCGACATGGGCGTCCAAAGGGGCCTGCACCCTTATCGCGGAAAGAGCGCTTTCTATGGGCGCTTGGAGGGGGGAGGGAGGGTTCTGGAACTGCCCCCCTCAAGGTGTGGGGGGGTGGGGGGGGGTTCGGGGAGTGGGGGGGGAGAGGGGGGAGGGGAGTTCCCCTGGTTCTGTTTGACAGCGCCGGGGGGGGATTCCCCCTCCCCCCCCCCCTCCGGCGGCTCAAACGCCGCGCCGGAGGCTCCCAAGGCAAGCGCCCGTGACACGCGCTCCCTCTTATATTGCGCATCCACACTGTCGGTTTTGAGTGTGTTCGCCCGGCCTTGTCGGCGCGAGCGCGGCCGCGGGGGGCAGGTGGCAGGTGGCAGCGGTGGGCGGCCGCCGCCGCCAACCGGCCACAGCTTGGGGAGCTGTGCTTCTCAGTGCACCCCCCTGGGGGAATCCATCGCATCGGCGAGACTCGAGAGGCGTGTCGAGGCCGAGGAGTCCCCAAGCGGGGAGGTAGGGACCACTGATCGCGAGCGCGAGGCGGCCGCGGGGGCGCGGCCTCGCCGGCAGAATGCGGTGGGCGGGTTGCGGGCGTCCGGACACGCTGAGCGCGGAGGGCTGCGCGGCGGCAGGAGCGCGCGCAACCTGCAGTGACGCTCGGCCTCTGCTCCCCCCCCTCCCTCGTGTGATTACTATGTTGTTTGTTCTCATTGTTTTTGCTATCATTACTCATTATTTTGACTCGTACGAATTATCAAACTATTTTATATTATTCCTTCTTCTTCTTCTTCCTCTCCTTTCTGCCGCGCCGGGCCTCCAGGCCAGACGACGGGGCGCGCGGGGGCCAGAGCGCTGGGCGAGAGCTCGTCGTGGCCGCTGGCCAAAGCAGGCTGAGCGCGGCAGCCTGCGCCGCACAGCCCCCCGCGGCGCGGCTGCCAGTGGAAGCAGACAGTGCTGAGCTGCAGCGGCTGCGGGTACTCTCTCACCTACCTATAGGCAGCGGACAGTGCTGAGCTGCGGCGGCTGCGGGTACGGCAGGTTCGTGTCGGGACGAGCCCAGCGTTGGTTTCTAACAGTGCATGGATCGTTCAAACTTGATCGATCGGCGGCTTTTCGATCGCCAGATCGTCCCGTATTGGCCGGCTCAAGGCCGCTGCCGGCGTTCAACCTTGAACGCCCGCAGCGGGTTCGCTGCCGCGTCGGCACGACACGAACCAACCGTTTTCTTTCACCCATGGAAGAAAAGAAATCGCCATAAACATAAACTTTTTGGTGCTCCGCGCGGATTTCTTGGATTCGCGCTGGGGCCCCTTTCGGCGGCGCCTCTGGCGCCGCCCCTGGCGCGCTCCGCGCGCCAGGGACGGGGGTCGGGCGCGGATCCCAAAAATCCGCGCGTGTCGTGTCGTGTCGTGTCCGGTTCGTGTCGGTCGGAATACAGTAGGTTCGCGTCGTGTCGACCAGCGGCGACCCCGCCGCTGGCGTTCAGTGTTGAACGCCGCCGCCGACCCAGAATCGGTCCATGTTGAATGATCGGACGTTTCGGGAACGACGGATCGTTCAAGGTTGAAACATCCCCGCGGTGTCAGGAACCAAAGCCGGTGTCGACACGACATGAACCTGTCGCAAGCAGAAAGGAGGTCATGCACTGAACGGCCAGCCGGTGCAGAGGTGGCGGCGGGCGCAGAGAAAGGTGATCACCACGGAAGAGGAGAGCGTGCACGACAGAAACACCGCCGCACGGGGCCAGCGTTGCCTACCACGTGCGGGCTGTGGGGGCGACCCACAGCGAGAAGCAAGAAGGGCGGTCAGCAGGGGCAGGGCTTATGTCGGGCGTGTCCCACTACAGGGGGATTTTCGACGGAAAAATAAATTACCCCCAAAATATTTTAAAAAGGTAAAAATAAACTTTTAAAAATAGTCCCCAGACTATTGTTGGATTACTTCTTAATTATTTTGGGGGTATGTTTTAAATTTTTCGTCGAAAATCCCCCTGTAGGGAGACAGGCCCGACACAAGGCAGGGCCCCGGGGGGCGACCCACTGGTGGGGGAGCGCCCAGTGACGGCACATGCAGGATCTTGTCGTTGCACCGGAGAGGCGGGGGCAGAGCCCCGGCCCCCCGCTCGGGCAGCCAGTGATGAGCCTGCTTTCCACCACCACCACCACCAGAAGTTGGAGGGGGAAGAAGGAGGAGGAGGAGGAGGAGGAGGAGGAGGAGGAGGAGGAGGAGGAGGAGCAGGAGGAGGACCTTCCCCTCCAACATATGGTGGTGGTGGAAAACACGCCCATCAGCCAGAGCACGGCAAACAGTCGCTGAGAGCAACCTGCAGAGGAGGGGGGCCCTCGGGCGGAGGCGGGGGCTCCGGAGGACAAGCAGAGGCGACGGGGGCGGCCCACGGCGAGGAAGGGGAGGCTGCACGACCTCCGGGCCCGAAGCCTCTGCCTCTCCTCCAGGAGGAGGAGGAGGATCAAGAGGAGGCGACCCATGGCCTCTTGCTGCCCGGGCCCGAAGCCGTGCCGTGCGTTGCCACACTCCACAGTACCGGTGTCCATTCACACGAGCTGCCAAACACGACTCCTGAGCGGGGGAGCGGGTTGGCGGGGGACCGCCCAGAAGGAGCGGGTATTGGAGTAGCCCCTATCTGGATGAACAGGTTAACAGGTTTAGGCATAGTGATGCGTGACTGCAGAAGCTACCAAAGCTCAGGAGCCTGTCGAGAATACGCTGCACGGGAACGCACGCGAGTTTGCACACTGTGCGCAAGGGCAGGCTTGTGCTGCCTTGCCGTCTGACTGCCTGGAGGGTCTAGGCCGCCAGCTGAGCTGGAGGAAGCTGGATCGCCGGCACGCAATTGAATGCCAAACGAGCCAGCAAACCTGCCAGCAAACCTCATAGAATGCACTCGATCTTGGCAGCTGTTCTGCACATATCAACATCAATGAGGCTCGGAGTGGCGCCAGGGGGACTCCTGCAGCCTGAGCGTGGAGTGCTAGTATCCTAGGAGCTCGTGCTGGCCTTGGGCGAGTCAACCAAGGAAGAGGAGCAGAGAACGGTAAATCATTCATAGCTCGCTCGCAGTCGCTCAAAGAGGACGCAGGGCAGCGCTTGGCAGGTTGGGCAGCAGCCGGAGCCACAACTGCGTCGACATTCACAGGCATTGACAAAACATGCCTCACACGATCCCATTTCCATTGCTGCGTGCCGAAGTTGAGGGATGATGCCGGTCAATGGAGTGCACGATCGTATCCAGCTGGCCAGCTGCATGCAGAGCCACTCGGACTTGGGGTACCTGCGCGGCGACGTCTGCACCGGCTGCACCAGAGTGCGAAGTAGCATCTCGGATTCGCTCTCGGAGCAGCGCCGTCACGAGCAGTATCGCCAGCCGGGCGCGACGGGGTGAAGCCGTCTGTTATGAGGTGGCAGCGAAGGCGGCCGCGAGGGCGCAGCCGCTGCAGCATCTCTGGACGATTTGGATGCGGGCAAGCGCGGGACCCAGACCCCCGGCGTCGACGTCGACCCACTCCACGAGGAGGAGGAGGAGGAGGCGAGGAGGAGGAGGAGGAGGCGGAGGAGGAGGAGGAGGAGTGGAGGAGGAGGAGGAGGAGGAGGAGGAGGAGGAGGAGGAGGAGGAGGAGGAGGAGAGGAGGAGGGAGGAGGAGGAGGAGGAGGAGGAGGAGGAGGAGGAGGAGGAGGAGGAGGAGGAGGAGGAGGAGGAGGAGGAGGAGGGAGGAGGAGGAGGAGGAGGAGGAGGAGGAGGGAGGAGGAGGAGGAGGAAGAGGAGGAGGATGTTTTCCTGACGTCGACACCCGGAGGCCTCGGCCCACTCTCCCCAGAGGGCCGGCGTGCCGTCCCGAGGCCCGGTGCTGGACGGCCTGGAGGCCCGTGGGGGGGGGGCCCTCCTAGGAGGCCGAGAAGCGGGAGGGGAGGAGACACACAGGCACAATTGTATCGACGACTCCCAGGAAAATCTATAGGGAAATCTGGGGAGTGGAGGGGAAGGCAAAGGCCCAGAAGATATGGGAAAAAGATATGGGGGATCCCGTCGTTTGCGTGTGTGTCTATGTGTGTGTGTGTGTGTGTGTGTGTGTGTCCCAGGGCCCCAGGAAAATATGGGAAAATATGGGAAGAGGGGGGAAGACAACAGCGCAGAAAAGATAGGAAAAGATGGTGGATCCCGTCATTTGTGTGTAGTTATTGGTGTGTCCCAGGGCCCCGTTCAGAGCATAGCGCAAAACTCCCGCCGCGACGCTGTCATGGCTCGAGGGGGGCTGCCTCCGCGGCGGCCCCCCGGGCCGTGGGCAAAGAAGGGCGCGCCTTGCGACGGCCCCGCCCTGCGCCCCCGGCGACGGGGCCCGGGCCGGCCGCGAGGGGGCCGTGCCGGCCAGGGGGCGGGGCCGCAGAGGCCGCGGGGAGGCGAGCGCACGAGGCGCTCGGCGGCGCAGACCGCGGCCCGCGCGCTTGCTCGAAGCGGGCCTGTCCCTCTGCAGGGGAGATATTCGAAAATAGTCTAACATTCGAAAATAGTCAAACAATAGTCCGGGGACTATTTTTCTAGCATTTCTTAACCATTCGGGAGTGTTTTTTGGTATTTTTTAAATTTTTCGTCGAACATCCCCCTGTAGGGGGGCGCGCCCGACTTAACGTTTGCTGCGCACGACCCGCGCGGCTGCGCGCCGCGGCGGGCGCCGGTGGCGCCCGTCGTCGGCAGCAGGCACCGCGTCTCCTTCGCGCCGCCGCGGAGGTCAAGCAGTGGCGAGGCGTCCTGGCTCACCTGTAGGCCCACCAAGGGATGTCCTAAGAACCTTCTGTGGCCTGCACGGAACATTCGAAGAACATTTCTGGCCTATATTGTTTTTTTCACATATCGGGTTCAATTTTGTTCTAAGAGCATGGTTACCTAACAGCTTTTGCTGATGATAGGTTGTGGTATCAAAAGAGAGCATCTTGACGCCCCAGGGGGTCTGGGCGGGATCTGGACAGATCCGGACAAGAGGGTCAGCCCCAGGAATCCTTAGGAATTCTTAGGAATCCTCAGGAATCCGTTCGCAGAACACCATTCCCAGGCCACATTTTGATTGCCCGGAGCCAACTGTAGGCCGCTTCGGGTTCTTCGTGTTCCCAGAACACCATTCCCAGACCACATTTTGAATGCCCGGAGCCAACCGTAGGGCACTTCGTGTTCTTCGTGTTCCCAGAACACCATTCCCAGGCCACATTTCGAATGCCCAGAGCCAACTGTAGGGCACTTCGTGTTCTTCGTGTTCCCAGAGCACTACTCCCAGGCCACATTTTGAATGCCCGGAGCCAAGTGTAGGCCACTTCGTTTTCTTCGTGTTCCCAGAACACCCTTCCTGTACCATATTTTGAATGCCCGGAGCCAACTGTGGGCCACTTCGTGTTCTTCGTGTTCCCAGAACACCATTCCTATGCCATATTTTGATTGCCCGGAGCCAGCCGTGGGCCACTTCGTGATCTTCGTGTTCCCAGAACACCAGTCCTGTGCCATATTTTGAATGCCCGAGCTGAGGCAGGCTGAGGCCGAGGCAGGCTGAGGCCGAGGCAGGCTAAGGCAGTGGCTGAGGCACGCCGAGGCAGGCTGAGGCTGAGGCTGAGGCAGGCTGAGGCTGAGGCAGGCTGAGGCTGAGGCTGACGCAGGCTGAGGCCGAGGCAGGCTGAGGCTGAGGCTGAGGCAGGCTGAGGCTGAGGCAGGCTGAGACTGAGGCTGAGGCAGGCTGAGGCTCAGGCTGAGGCTGATGCAGGCTGAGGCTGAGGCTGAGGCTGAGGCTGCGCTGAGGCTGAGGCCGTGGCAGGCTGAGGCTGAGGCTGAGGCAGGCTGACGCTGAGGCAGGCTGAGGCTGAGGCTGACGCAGGCTGAGGCCGAGGCAGGCTGAGGCTGAGGCTGAGGCAGGCTGAGGCAGGCTGAGGCTGAGGCTGAGGAGGCTGAGGCTGAGGCTGATGCAGGCGACTTGAGGCTGAGGCTGAGGCTGAGGCTGAGGCTGAGGCTGCAGGCTGAGGCTGAGGCTGCTGAGGCAGGCTGAGGAGGCTGAGGCTGAGGCTGGCTGCAGGCTGAGGCAGGCTGAGGGCTGAGGCTGAGGCTGAGGCTGAGGCTGACGCTGAGGCCGAGGCAAGCCGCAGGAGGCTGAGGCTGAGGCTGAGGCTGAGGCTGAGGCTGAGGCTGAGGCTGAGGCTGAGGCAGGCTGAGGCTGAGGCTGAGGCTGAGGCTGAGGCAGGCTGAGGCCGAGGCAGGCTCAGGAGGCTGAGGCAGGCTGAGGCTGAGGCAGGCTGAGACTGAGGCTGAGGCAGGCTGAGGCTGAGGCTGAGGCTGATGCAGGCAGGCTGAGAGGCTGGCTGAGGCTGAGGCTGAGGCTGAGGCTGAGGCAGGCTGAGGCTGCAGGCTGAGGCTGAGGCTGAGGCTGAGGCTGAGGCTGAGGCCTGAGGCTGAGGCTGAGGCAGGCTGAGGCTGAGGCTGCAGGCTGAGGCTGAGGCTGAGAGGCTGAGGCAGGCTGAGGCTGAGGCTGAAGGCAGGCTGAGGCTGAGGCTGAGGCAGGCTGAGGCTGAGGCTGAGGCAGGCTGGCTGAGGCAGGCTGAGGCTGAGGCTGAGGCTGAGGCTGAGGCTGAGGCTGATGCAGGCTGAGGCTGAGGCAGGCTGAGGCTGAGGCCGAGGCTGAAGGCAGACTGAGGCTGAGGCTGATGCTGAGGCTGAGGCTGAGGCAGGCTGAGGCTGAGGCTGGCAGGCTGAGGCTGAGGCAGGCTGAGGCTGAGGCTGAGGCTGAGGCTGAGGCTGAGGCCGAGGCAGGCTGAGGCTGAGGCCGAGGCAAGCCGAGGCTGAGGCTGAGGCTGAGGCTGATGCTGAGGCAGGCTGAGGCTGAGACAGGCTGAGGCTGAGGCTGAGGCAGGCTGAGGCTGAGGCAGGCTGAAGCTGAGGGCGAGGCACGCGAATCCTTCGGAATTCTTAGGATTCCCTAGGAATCCTTAGGAATCCCTAGGAATCCCTAGGAATCAGGATTCCCAAGGTTTCCTAAGGATTCCCATGGATTTCTAAGGATGCCACTGCGACTGTCATTGCGAATGCGACTGCGACTGCGAGAACAGCAGAATTCTACAACTAGATTATCACCTGAATCTTAAGGGGGATGCTTACAGATATGCTTATACACATCGCTGTTAGGTTGCTTTGTCGGGATAAGGTTTGTGATTCGAACAAGTTGTGGTTCTAGAACAAATTCTCGTGGTAGGTTTATAGGAATGCTGGGATGGTCGGTCCCTGCTCAAGGAGAGGAGGGGCGGAGATCAGGCGATCGCAAACATGGACCAAGGGGACGTGTATTAGCGACGTGTCCCGTTTCCATGGGGGATCGCGGATCTCGGCCGCCGAGCGAGGCGGCACCGGCCGCATTTTGGGGATGGCGCTTCCCCCCCGATCCGTACATTTGGCGACCGCGCGCCATTGCATGGATCGCTAATCCATGTTTGCGCGCCCCCGACGAGAGGCGGGGCGGAGGCGGCTGGGGGGGGCGGCCGCGGCGCGGGGCTGGTGTGGTGCCGAGGGTGTGCCAGCTGGCGCAGGGGCGACGGGGAGGGAAGGAAGGAGGGAAAGAGGGAGGGAGGGAGGAGGAGATGGAAGGAGGGAGGGAGGGAGGGAGGGAAGGAAGGAGCGAAGGAGGTAGGAAGGGAAGGACGGAGGGAGGAGAAGAAGGAGCCGGAGGAGGAGCAGCAGCAGCAGAAGCTGCAGCAGTAGAGGCTGCAGGATGAGGAGAGGAGGGGAGCGAAAGCGGAGGAGGAGGAGGAGGAGGAGGCAGAACGGCAGGAGGAGGTGTGGACAGGAGGGCGAGGGGAAGTCGGAGGATGAAGGATGAGGAGGCAATGCCACTGTTCGACTCTTCCAGGTCTCAAAGGGGTAGCGTGAAGCTGGCCACGTTGGCAATCGATCTGTACAGTGTGATGTCGCTCCGGCTGACGCTGCCCAAGCTTGCGTTCACAGCCGGGCGCATAGTCGACTTCCATTTCGTGAGCTACAGGTGCGGTCTCCTCCCCTCCCGCACCTCGTGCTCCTACTCGTCCTGGAATTCATCCTTTCTCCCTCTGCCTCCCCCTCCTCCTATGTCTCTTTCCTTCCTCCCTCTGCTCCCCCGTCCTCGTCCTCCCCATGCGCCATGCTTTTCTCGTCCGCCCTCTCCTCCTCCATGTTCTCCGCCTCCGCATCTTTTCTCGCCGTCTCGCCCTCTCTCTCTCTCTCCTTCTCTCTCTCTCTCCCTCTGTCTCGCCCTCCCTTCATCCACACCCCGTCTCCTCCTTGTCCCAGGCACTGTCGTTTCCCATCCTCCTTCTCCTGTTGCTTCAAGCAGTGTTGAAGCATCCTGGCGTGCCTATAGCCCTACCGAACAATGTTCTAAGAACCTTTTGTGGTTCCCACGAAATGTTCTTAGAACATTTCTGGCCAGGGCTGTCTTGTTTTACCACATCTGGTTTATGGTATGAAATCTTTGTTTTTGTTATTAGAACATTCTTAGGCTCTAAGAGAATTTCGTGGTAGGACTATAGGAATACCTGGACGGTCGGTCCCTGCTCAATTGCTCCTTTTCCGTTCCCTACCCCTCCTTCCCGCTCTCTCCACGCCCCCCTTAGTTGGAAATCCTCCTCGTCGTCCACCTCTTCTTCCTCTTCCTCATCCGCCTTCTTATCCTCCTCCTCTACCTCCTCCTCCTTCGTGCGCTCCAGGCACCGCGCCAGCCTGGCAAGCTTTCGCATCGCAACCAACAAGCAGCTTTTGGACCGGCTGAAAGAGCTGACTGCCTGACGTGTGGCCCTCTCCTCTCCTCTCCCCCTTTCTTCTTTCCTCTCCTCTCTGCGCTCTCCTCCGCCCTTATGCCCCTTATCCCCCTCCTCTCTCCATGTGTCCCTTGCCCTCCGAGCTCTTCTCCTTCGTATATTTCCCTCCCTTCCTCCCTTTCCTTCCATTCGTCCTCCCTTCCTTCCTTCCTTCCTTTTTTTGTTCTCTCTCTCTCTCTCTATCTCTCGTATCTCTCTCTATCTCTCGCTCTCTTTTTTCATCATTTCTTTATTTGTTGTTGTCTCTCTCTCTCTCTCTTTCTCTCTTTCTCTCGCAGCGTTACGCAGCGGCACGCGCCGACACCGCGGTGCCACGGCGCTGGGACGCCGCGATAACCGTCGCGTCACTGCCCGCCCCTGATCGGCGCGCGACCGCCCGCCTCTGTTCGGCAGCAGGACAGATCCATGTGGTGTCCGATCATGGACCCCTTGTTGAACGCTGCTGCCCAGCTTTCGCGCCGAAGGCTGCTGGAAAGCGCCAGAGACTGCCGGAAGCCGCCGAAGGCCGTCAAAAGACCGCTGGAGATGGCCGAAGGCCAGCCGAACACGCTCGCAGACCGCCGAAGACGAGGCAGGACCGATGGTGAATAAGGGGTCAAGGTCGAACATGTAAGATCCATGTCGTGGCCCGAGCAGATGGGGTCGAAAAGTCGCGCCGCATCGCCGATGTATTGCCGATGGCTCAATGTGGAGCCCGATCTTCTCCACGCCGACTTTGCCACCGCCGACGTCGCCGATGCATCGGCGACGCGGCGCGATCTTCGGACCCCATCTGCTTGAACCCCATGTGGGAGGCCTCGTACTAACACCCAGCACCCAGGCATCACGCGCGCAGCCTTGAAATTGCATGGCCAGCTCCGCACGGCCCACGAGGTCCACTGCCTGGTGTCTTGGACGGGGCCCTGAGTGAGTCTCGATGACCCTCTTGCCAAGCGTTGTGTGCTACGGTGGGGGCCCGTGCTAAGAAACACCCTGCTTGCCTCCAGGGTGCCCTGGGTTTCTTGGGTTTCCGTGGTTCTGCTATGGAAGGCGTGACGTTGACACACCAAAAACCAATGGACGCCCTGTGATATCAGGGATGGGCTTCTTGCCTCCATTGTATGCTTTCTCAACTAGGCTTTGCCTGAGGGATCTTTTCTTGTTGTGGCAGTTACTGGTTGGTGCGGGGCCCTTCCCGTCCGTCGTCGCCCGGGGTTCCTCGGGGTTCCTCGGGGATCCTCAGCGTTTTGCCTCAGGAGGCGACCCCGGGCGGGTCTCGCGGGTCCTCTGCCCACGCCCACCCGTGCCAAGCAATGCAGAGCAGTGCCCAGCCAATGCAACGCAAAGCAGTGCCCAGCAAGCCGAGTGACGCCGAGGAGTGCACGCCGATGCGAAGCAGAGCCGGGCAGTGCCTAGCCGTGTCGAGCGACGCCAGGCACCGAAGCGACGCCGGGCGCCGCCGAGCACCGCCGAGCAGGGCAAGGCCACGCCGAGCAATGCCAAGCAGCGATTCCAAGCAGTGCCCAGCAACGCCGAGCGCTGCTGGGAAACGGAAGTCAACGCTGGATGCCAACCTGTGCTTTGGATTGAACTGCTTTGCGCTGCTGAGGTGTATTTTGATTTGCAGTGGGAAGATACCACTCCTGATTCGGGTCCCGCCTTGTTCATTCGAATAGTTGCTCTGTCCATCGGTTCTGCGATTGCTCAATGCATTCAGCAGCAGCCGCATGGCAATACATGTGAGGTACCATGGTTGGTGATACACCGGCATTGCGTAAGATATCTGCTCGCGACGCCGCCCGCCGTCTCACTCAGACGGTGCGCGCTTCATGCTGCAATATGGTAGTTGTTTCCAGAAGGCCTCTACGAGGCGTGATTTCTTGAGAGTAGCTCCATGGATGGGCTCGTGGCGACGAGGGGGAGGAGCAGTGGGGGAGGTTTTGACATTGCACAGTCGCAGTTAGTATATGTAAGTTTGTTCGGCTGGTCTATGTTTTCAAGAAGTGGAATTGTTTCGATGCGCACTTGGACAGTCGAGGACGCAATGACAATCCCGCTTCGGCGGTTCAAGGGCCAGTATAGAAGAGCCCCCAGGATTGGCCGCTTGCGGTGACTGGTGGCCCAAACGCTCCGCCCAGCTCCCACACATCACATGCATCAGTGCAAGAGAGTTGTTCTACACAGGCTCAGGTTTCCCAAGCGTTGCTCGTCGTGGCGATGTCGGCTGGCACTAATTCGTGAGCTGCTTGGAAAGGGGTACCAGCAGAGCGGCAAGAGCAAGTGCTCTTCCTCACTTGTGAGCACATCCTCGCTACCACCCTCTGTAAACTTGACCTCAAGAGTGCGCGACACATGTTACTCGTATATTTGATGTTCTGTGCATGGGTGACATTTCGCGCAAAGTACTTGTTGTGATGTCCTGTCCAATTTCGGTGACATGTTGTCACCCCCTTTCCAATGCTGGTAATCATGGAACTTCCGAGTCGCGTGGTCCCGGACCGCGTATCGCTCTGATTCGACAATGACGGGGGCGCTATCTATGAGGCGGACAGGGGCGACATTGCAGAGGCGCGTCAACAGGTTTTTCGATTAGTTTGGTCGCAGATTAGCCGTGTGGAATGAGTGCGAGGGCGAACCAACAGGCAAAAGACTGGTTAGCCGTTTCGGCGCGCGCGCATCACGATTGTAAATTTAAAGAAGTTTTGGAGATCCTAAGAGCGTTCCGCATTGATTTGCTTCACTCAATATTGATACGTAGTACTCAAGTGACTCGTGGGCTCCTACACCGTATTGCAGGAATCACGCCTATTACGGGTCCATCCCGAGTATAAAGAAACAACAGGGTCGGACGCTGCTGGGGACCTTAGTTGCTGTGAGTTGACCATCCAAGCACGTATCAGATTACAGCTGTGACCTTGTGCTGTTGGTGACATTGCTGCGTACCAGTTCACAGCAGTTCCTCCCCCTGGGCGGGTCGCGGTGATGCGATCCAGCCAACCGCATCAGTTCCACCCCCCCCATTGACGGGTTGCGGCGGCGCGACAGGCAGCCCGGCCAGAGGCTTCAATCCATCCTCGCGTGGATACAGGAACGGAGAGATCGAGGTATCACGCCTGTTAAGTGGACTTGAGGGGATGCGAAATGGAGAAACTCGAAGCGAACTACCTTCGACAAAGTCTCGAGAGAGCGCGACGCAATTTTTCTCTTATGTTTGACGTTCTGGGTATGTAGGACATTGCTTGCAAAGGCCTTGTTGGAGTCTCCCTACCCGTGACTTGTTTACACCCCCCTTTCATTGCCGGTCATCGTAGAACTTCCGAGTCGCGCCGGTCCGTTTTGTTTCGACAGTGACCGGGGTCACATTGCACATTGGTGGGGCTTGCAGGAGCATGTCAACAAGTTTGAGGCGCATGCTCTCGAGGGTCGTAGTACTGAGGGGCTTCGCGCTGCTCCGGACATACACTATTGGCAAGTGTCTGCCGGTCACTGTTGCAAACGTGAGAAGTGCTTCGCTGGCACACTGGACGCCAGCGATCAGGCACAGAGCAAACGTCTTTACACTCAGTGCCATCAGCGAGCCCGTGCCATGGAAATGCTGGGACACACGACCAGACCAAAAGCTATATCGACATCCATAAAGAATCGACGTATCTCTCTCTATATATATAGACACCTATATATATATGCTCATATACATATTCATATATATAGAGAGAGAGAGAGTATGGCTGCCGCAGGGGGAAATACTCCTCGTCAGAGGCTGGTGCCACGCTACGAACCTAAATGATGCGCACTGGTTGCTGGATGCAGGCGAAAGTCATCAAGTACTGGTTCCATCCAGCTGTCTGTGGCAAGCCAGGCCACCATGACAGCGCAGCAGCGCAGCCGCGCAGGAGGAAGCAGGAAGGAGGTTTGGGTTACGACCCGCTCCAGTCCAATGCCCTGTCTGAAGTGCCTTGGGTCGTAAGTACCACGTCCGTGTCCACAGCGACATGATCCTCCTCATTCTGACTCTGCTTCCTCCCTGTCCTGAACATCTCCTGTCTTGCGTCTCTCTTCTCCCTCTCTCCTCTGCCCCGGCGAAGGGGGGGAGGAGGCGCAGGAGGAGGGGCCAGGAGTCTCCAGGTACCCGGTTTAATCCCGCTCCAGCGCCAGAAAGGGCATGGCTCGGGGTTGCGCGCAAGGTCCGGCCTCAGCGTGGCCCCGTGGCCCCAGGCTGCAGTGCCTCAAACGGCGCCCCCCGGGGCGTTCCGCGCTCGGGTCGTTGTTTGGCTGGCCGGGGGGGACGGCCCCAGCCTGCCCCGCGGGCCCGTCGAAGCCAGCCTGGGCTGGCTACGGCCGCAGTCTGTGGCGCAACCCTGGGCCTTGCCATCCCGTGTCCTCTCCCCTCCCCTTTTTTCTCCCCACCTCCTCTCTCCCCCTGTCCCTGCGCACCACCCGCGGCACTCCCACCCGCCCCCCAGACGTAGGGGCCCACGGTGACAAAACAAAGTGGGACAAGGGCGCTCGTTCCCGTTTTCGCGCGCGCACGGCGCGCGCGCGCGGCCCCGCTCCCGACGACTTGGCGAGGGGGGAGGAGCACGGAGCGCGCACGGCGCGAGCAGACCTCCAGAGAATCGCTGCGCTGCGCTGCTGCAAGACCTGAAAATTAACCTTAAGTCGGGCATGTCCCTCTAATTACAGGAGGAAGATGCTTCAAGCATGGAGAATCGTCTGGGGACGAGTGTTCGACTATCTTTAGAGTATATCAGGGCATGCTCCTGTTATCTCTTGTCTCTCGCCCAACATCCGCCTGCAGGGGGGCAGGCCCGGCCTAAGTTTAGCCCCCGCGGCCAAGTCTCCGAGGAGCACGGCCAAGGCGAGGCGTGCACCGCACCACCTCGACGCTCCCGCTGCCACGCCACGTCTGCGACATCGCACACGCCGCCCTCGCTCTCTCTCTCCCGCGGCCCCGCCGCTGCCGCCGCGTTTGGCCGGCGACCTCGGCTCTCCGAGAGCCTGCGCCGCGCCGGAGCGGAACGCCACTCCAGCTGAGTCGGGCGTGTCCCTCTACAGGAGGAGCGTTCAAGGACAGTCAGATATAGCCTGGGGATGAGTTGTTGCGTATGTTTGAGCAGTTTTCAGGGTATTCGTTCGTCCAAAATCCGCCTGTAGGGGACATGCCCGTCCTAACACTCAGGCGAAGTCTGCTCGGGGCTCTTGTCGAAGAAGAATACACGCTATGAAGATAAACTTTTGGCGCTCCGCGCGGATTTCTTGGGTCCGCGTTGGGACCCTCCAGCGCGGAACCAAGAAATCTGCGCGGAGCGCCAACAGCTCATGTTTGTAGCGTTTTTGTTGTTCTATCTTGGGCGACGTCTGCGCGCGACGCCGAGGCGAGCGCGACATTTTGCGCTCGCTCGCACGCGACCTGGCTGTCGACGAACTGGCGAGCATAAGTGCACAGTTCGCCCAAGTGGGAGTTCGCTTATGCTCCTAGGGGAAAATCAACCTGCCGC